GCTAGTATAGCTAATGAGAGTATATTATGATGTTAAGTGGTCAATTAAGTTCATGAGTGAGTTAGGTTATGAAATTTGACCAAAAGGGGGTAAAAAGTCAACTAAAAGGGATCAAAATTTGACCAATGACCATTTGAGTAAACGAGTGAGTTAGGTTATGAAATTTGCCGAGCAAAGAAATTTGATCTTTTCTCTTCAAAATGAGGGGTAGTTTTGATAACCGAACAGAAAGTTATGACTTTTCTAAGTTAGACAAAAATAAAGTAAAAATTTGAAAGTGACCAAATAAACAATAACCTTTTCAAAGAAAGTTGAGCTCTAATTTCAAGGAAATCGGTCCAAAAACTATTTTTCCTCAAAATTTCATCCAAAGAGCTTTCCATAGAACTTGGAGTCACTCAATTTTGATTTTTCTACAATTAGTTATGAATTTTCAAAGTTTGTCACGTTTTTTGTAACAATGAATAGTAGCCCGTAAATGAAAATTTTCAAACTTGATTTTTCATCACTTATAGTCTTCAAAAGTGATTCCCAATGCTTCCGTAAAGAAAGTTATTTGGTATAAATATAAGGTGTTACAGTCACCTCATCTTCTTGCTCATGTAACGATGTCAATGTCATACTCTTGGTTAAAAGATATAACTTCAAATCTGAGGGTTGATGAGCCACGTGTGAGACAGTTGCCATATTTACATTTATACATGTACATAAGTGTGTGTTTAAGTCCAGAATTCAAAATGAGAGAATTGCTATAAAGTCCCATGTGAGAAATATTACCCCCAATCCTTAGTATAGGAGCTAATTTGACTTCTAATTTATTCCTAAATATAAGACCTCAATCCACTTTATCTCTCATATTTATCTATTTTTCTCACGATAGTCATTATAGAAGTTGCACATGTTAAAAGTTTCATTAAATAATAATTTTAGCTAATACACACTATGAGCAAGGGTATTTTAAAAAAAAAACAATATGTTTTTATTACAAATAACTAACTTAATTTTTTAAATTTATTCAAATTAGTCAACTAATTTTTATATTAAGGACAGGAAGTACTATAATTATTACATGGGAAAGCCATGCATACACACATGTACATGTGTGTGTATGAAAGCATGGCAACTGTCAGACACGTACTCATCAGCCCTCATATTAGAAGCTATATCTTTCAACCAAGAGGCCAACATGGACATCGTTACATGAGCAAGAAGATGAGGTGACCTCCCTAGAAAGTGAGGAAAATATTAAAAATTATAGTCATCACCTGCGCCTCTATAAATTATAACTAGTCGAGTCTTGTTGATGGCTTTCCGATTATCATTTCTTATGTAAATAATAATTTAGCAGACCTATTTTATTGAAAACACTACTATAATTAAGACTTTTTACTTCTGTTTCGCATGACTTTTTATTTCTGTTTTTTGGGGGACATGAAAAGAAGGGACATAAAAAGTACCCCCCTTTTTACTTCTGTTTTGAACAGAAGAGAATAATGGTATTATTTACGTCTGTTTTGAACAGAAGTAAAAAAATCACTTTTTTACTTCTATTTCTCCAAAAACCAGACTTGAATTGACATCTATTTTGCTAAAATAGACGTGAATTGATGTTTGTTTTTGGATAAATAGATATAAATTTATGTCTGTTTTGATAAAACAGAGGTTAAAAATATGATTTTTATCATTAAGCACAGTCCCAATAAACATTAACCAAATTCAAAACTAATAATATCAATTGAATCCGATTCATTCAAATTATAACATAAAACACTATATCATCATGCCAATTCCTAAAATTTAAAAAGACATAAAAATTACTTTTACAAGTAGTGGAGATTTTACATATAACATAACAAAAATCCAAAAATTATTAGAACAAAGCTTTCCATTGACAACTAATTAATGCATAACAATCTTTTTAATCTTCAAATCCATTATCCAATTAATAAACATCCCATTTTTAAAGCTTCCTCTTGAATGTAATCAACATTCTAATTCAATACATAAAGGAAAATTCTCTTTTAGACATTTTGACAAACACTTTTGATGTATTAATTTTCAAACAAGTTAGTTAATAAGGATTTCAAACTTCAAATCCATTACCCAATCAATGTAAACAAATTTCAACCCATCTAAATGCAATTTTTTCATTAATAATTTAATGTATACCCAATCCTTAATCTAAATTCAATACATATAGGAAACTATCTAAATACAATCTCTCTTAGGCATTTTGACAAACACCTTGTATGCATTATTTTTCTAACCAGTATTAACAAGGCTTGAAATCTTTAAATTTTCTACCCAATCAATATATACAAATTTAAAACTATCTAAACACAATTCTTCAATAAAAATTTAAACAAAAACCTTAGAAACCAACTCAAAATTCCTCAAGTCACAAAAACCCACGTACAACATATTAAACCCACAACACAACCGTTGAATGAACTTACCTTCACTACAAATTGAAACTGTTCTAGCTTGCCTTCGAATTAGAGAGTATCACGGCCTGGAGAGACGAGGAGGACGGCAAGTTGATGTGCATGTGAACTTCACTACTTCAGCCTTGTCAATTGACAGTGACAAGCTGCTGCAACACGAAAATGATAGCTGATGTAGAACGACGACAATGGAGTGAGGGCTAGCTATAGAATAACGGCCTTGAGAGAGCTGAAATGAGAGGGAGAGTTTTAGAGTAGCTCACGGTTGCTACAGGTAGAAGATGAAAATGAGAGGGAGAGAGTGAAAAATCAAAGTTCCCGTGCGTGCTAGCAACTGGCTGGTGACTAAATTAGCTTCGCGGTACTGATGTGAAGCTGATGAGGTGAATTTTTTTAAAGAATAAGCCACCTTCATGTCTGTTTCTTTAAAAACAGATGTGAAGTAATGTCTGTTTTGTGTAAATAGACATAAACACTATATATTTTTCCTCTGTTTTTTAGAACAGACATAAATGAAGGAGGTAAATAATATATTTTGTTGTAGTGAAAAGATCTTAAATTTCATTAATTATGTTTTAAAAGTTAATAACTTTCTAATTTTATTTATGTTTAATGTACAATCTATCTCAAGAATACAAAGTTAAAACAATGATATATTAACGGTAAAATTGTACATTCATATGAAAAATTTAATAGTATGATTTATAAATAGAACAAAAAAATCCATCTCTATCTTATAAATAGGACTAAAGAGGAGTATTCACATTATATAGAAAGTAATTTTTGTATGCTTAATCACCTTTTAAATAAGAGGTAGAATTTGATGAAGGAAAATAAGACATGCATGTTTTGACTGGTAGCAAATGATTAATGTATTTCAGTTTTATTAAAACAAGAACTGACAAATAAAATTTTGATGAAATTAAACATAATTAACTATTGTTGATTTGATCACAATTTTCACTTTAAAATATTTCCAATTTTATATTTAAAGTATACCAAACACAAGACTACTTGACTAAAATTATCTACAAATATCACTCAAAAATTATGTAATTAACCATAAACGAAAATGATCAGAATCACATATATTGAGTGTGTGTGTGTGTGACTAAACTAATTTTTGAACAAAAATTTATTGATGTTCGGGTCTAGTAAATTGATAATTTTGGGATTAAATTATAATATGTTTGAGTTGAAATGTTGCATATCTAATAAGTTTTTAAATCTAAATATTTTATTTAGTTTTGGGATGCAAAATCTCAAAAGTAAGAGGTGCAAAATTGTAAAATTCACTTCCATTTTTTTCTTTGTTTTTTCTTTTTGCTGCTAGTGTAAAGCTTACTTCCACCGCTTAAAATTTTCCCCAAAGTGAGGGAGTACATACATGTCATTTTAACTCATCATAACGTGGCTCTGCAACACAAAGTCTCCTCATTTTGCTTTTGCATCCCCCTACTTGTCGACCAAATTGCATCTCTTTACTTTATTCCTCGACACCACATGCTCAACGACAGATCCCAGATCCTTATGTTTTGATTGTGAGGTCCAGGTATTACCAATCTGAAATTATAAACAAAAGCGAATCTATAATTTTATATTTCAAATGATCGCAGCACCGGCCCAGTGATGCTATAAATATCGGAGACTTTTGAGTTAATAATAATTTAAGCCTATGATTACTAGTGAACTACCACCTCCAATGGCTGAAAGTATCACCCCTTCGTCCACAGACAACCAAACAAATGTTGAGTTTATAAATGAGGAGTTGCCATTAAATTAAAGCACGCGCCATCTTTACCCGAATTATCACTTGAGGAAGAATTTGAAAAGTAGTCCCAGGGGATCAATCATTTTGGTCCATTTTGAAGAATTATGCTGGGTTAATATTGGAGGGAAAGCAAACAGTCACCAAACAAGATTTTGTTTTAAAGTTTATTTGGGCTAATGAGGGACGTGTGCGACAATTGCCATGTCATTTATATATTTGTTCTCCTCCATTTAAGTCCATGTTTCACATATGTTAATAGAAAAACTCTAAACATTATTAACTCATCTTTAAAATCTAACAACTTTTCAACTTTATTCTCATTTAATATATATTATACTATATGAGAATAAAGTCCACACAATTTAAAATAAATAAATCGTAAAATTGTATATTTATGTAAAAAATTTGTCTCTTTGTCGTGTAAATAGAAGAAAAATTTTGCCTGATCAGTTTAAGAGTGATAATTCCCACGCCATGGGAATCAAAGTTATTGCCACTTCGTTCCCCCACCAACCTTTCTATATTATTTGCAATGCAATGATTTAGCTATCAAGCCATCAACTACTTTTGTTGGTGGCACAGTACAATAATGATTTGTTTGACCAACTTCATTATCTTATTCTATGCATAGCTGGATTATGGATCCATGAATCATGTGCACCTTTTAAAATACTGACAACAATTATTTAGTTAAAAAATATTGACAATAATCGATGGCCAGTTCATGGTATATGAATAATGGAAACCTGTTTACTAGTTAATTATCTAGCCATAGCGTCCGTCTAATGGCTGAAACCACTGTCAGTTCCGTCACAAAATGTCAACCAAATGTTGAGCCTAAGAACGAGATTTGCGATGAAGAGTATGAATATTACAGCCAAGAATTTAAGGATTTGTTCAAATCACTTCCCAGAGAAAAGGGTTGGTCTTCTCCGTACATTTATCTGTATCAGGAAATTTGGTATCCCCCAGTACCACTCCAAGGCGTACTCTCTTTTCAAAAGCACTTCCAAGCAAAAGACAGCGATGTGGTTATCGCCAGCTTACCAAAATCCGGTACTACTTGGTTGAAAGCCCTTACTTTTGCCATTATGAATCGTAAGTATTTCTCTCCATCACAAAGTAACCATCCTTTGCTCATTTCCAGTGCACATGAGCTTGTTCCTTTCTTAGAGTTAAATTACTCTGGAAATTACCAAATATCTGATCTATCCAACCTGCCTGAACCAAGACTTTTTGGTACACATGTTCCATTTCATTCATTGCCCACTTCAACGATCAAATCCAAATGCAAGACAATTTATATATGTCGAAACCCATTTGACCAGTTTGTGTCTTTGTGGTCTTTCATGAACAAAATCACACCACCATCCTTACCAAAATTATCATGTGAGGAAGCATTTGAGAGATATTGCTTGGGAACCCAAGAGGGTGGCCCAGTTTGGACACACATGATGAGTTATTGGAAAGAAAGTAAAAGGACACCACTGAAGGTTTTATTTTTAAAGTACGAAGATTTGAAAGGAGACATCCAATTATCCTTAACAAGAATGGCTGAGTTCTTGGAATGCCCTTTCACTTCAGAGGAGGAAAGTGATGGAGTTATTAAAAACATAATTGAGCTATGTAGTTTTGAGAAGATGAAGGAATTAGAAGTTAATAAGACTGGAAAATTCTTGCAGCAATTTGAAAACAAGGACTACTTCAGGAAAGGTAAGGTAGGAGATTGGGTTAATCATTTTACACCTTTGATGGTAGAGAAATTGTCTAAACTAGTTGATGAGAAGTTGGATGGATCAGGTCTGTTCTTGTAGTTTTACTTTTGACGAGATACAAGATTAATTAGATTTAAGATTTTTGTTTTACTAGAGTGATCTTAGTTTTGAATTAAGATTTTGTTTGAATAAATGTAATCTTTTATGTTATTCTAGACTATTGTTATTTAACTCTTAAAACTTCTAAAACATTTGCTCAATTTGAATGCTTCTGATTGTCACGGTTTGATTATGAATTGAATAAGATGTTGAGTATTCTCTGCTTGAGCTTCTTCTCTTCTTTTTCTATTTGTCAAGTTTCTTCATCCTTTCTTACTATCTCTTGCTTCTCTATCCTTTCTCTCCTTTTTCCCCTTCTTGTTTTGCACCATTTAATTGCTCGATCGTATAAATTATAAGCATGTTATATGTTTTGCCAACGATGACACTAGGAGGAAAAATTTTATTTGAACTGGCCTCTATAGATCGCTTGCTATATAATCGATTTAAAAAATAAATGTGGCAATTTGGCAATGAAATTATTATGTGTCTGTACCACAAGGGCACAAGTTGTGACAAGTAATATAATGATGAGAAAAGATCATTCCCACATAGATTTGCATAAAAATCAAGATCAAACAAAAGAAAATGTGAATAAACAAACTCTTATAAGAAGAGTGAATGTTGAAAACTAATTTTAAAAAATAAAAAGTGATGAAAATAATTTATTCTTAAACTTCAACAGATTAAAGGGACGTAGGATTATTTATCCCCCTTGTATATCATAACTTTTAATTTATATTCTCTCATAGATATTTTTGATAAAAATATGTTAGTTAAGGAATCAAAAAGTACTTGTAAAAGTTTTTAAAATCAAGAACAAGTCACTACTAGGGAAAAAAAAAAGCTTTTAACGACGGTTAAAAAGAACTTTCCATGATGGTTTTCGAGGCGCACTGAATTTTGTCAACGTTATAAGGAGAACATTACATGGCAATTTATAACTACCTTGAAAAATAACTTTTCACAGTGGTTTCTAAATAAAACACCATGGAAAGTTAACTTTCCACAGTGTTTATTAAATAAAACACCGTGGGAAAATAACTTTCCACAATGATATCTCTCATTATGTTGATTTCCTTGACCTCATATACCACGCTATCTTGGAATGCCTGTAAATTAAAAATAACATAGTCACTAGTCAACTCGATCAAAAATATGAAAAGAATTGAAGAATTACAATGTAACTTATATTTACCTCCTCTAACTTCTCGATCAATAACCCCTATCTTAATGATATCATTTATATAGCAGATGATATAATATCTGCATTGAACACTCCTAGGTTGACAACGATACTAACAAAATGAAATATAAAATTGAATATCTAACTTTGATTATCTAAAAAAAATTTATAAACATTAACTTTGTTTATTTAAAAGATTTATAAACACAGACTTAGCTCAAAACAATATGCACGTGGGAGAATCCATGTTAGTGGTGTTTTATTTTTCTCCTTGGCCACATTATTGAAACTATGAAAACCCTATCAGCAATTAAAAGAAAATGATATTAAAGCATTTTTTTGTCAACGTTACACATAATACATATATAAACATAAACTCACATGTCAATGGCACTAGTGTTTAATTTCATTAGTTGCTCAATATCTTATAATTAAGAAATCCAATTTTAAGCTTCAATCCTAAAATGACTATGTAAGGTTGGGAAGTATCTCTCTATCTCACCAACAAAACCATCCATTTAACAACAAACTTCAAGTTCTTACACAATTTTACTTAAGTTCTACACCCAACTTAACCCTCTCAAGCATTTATCAAGTGAATAAATCAATTAAATGATAATCAAGCATTTAGAAACATTAAGGAAAGAGTAAACTAAACACATATATATCATTAATCACAAAATAAGAGGAGTAATTAAGAGTTAATTCATACAAGGGTTCAAAATAATCCTAGAACAGTGAACTTGGCCACTCATAGTTTGCTCTTCGGTTATGACGACAAAGTCATCATTAAAAGTACGCTTGTCACTAAATGTATGCCTTTTGAAAACTTCCAGTACGGTGACTTTCCACTAGTTCCAACTAGTATTTTGTAAATATCTAAATTGGGTCCTATCATAAAGCCTCCTTGCCACGAATACCAGAAACGATCTTGTTTGGGTGAAGTTCTTTGCCTATAGAAATTGCTCTGACCACCGTTTAGGATCCGTGTTCCTTACTCATCACTCTTCCATTTTCTCACCTCACCATTAAATTGCTACGAGTGCTTTGTTCTCAAAGGAAATGATGACCTTGAATACCATTTTAAACTGTTTATAGGGCCGCATTAAAAAGTGCCACACTTTCCATAATTATCTAGACTGATCTCAAATCTTGTCTTAAAGACCTATTTTAACCAATCTAAAAGATCTTTTTCTACTAGTGCACTTGAGGGGAGGAGCAATACCACTTAATTTCAAATCTAATGGTGAAAACACTGCAATTTTATATTTATTATTATATATTATAATAAAACCCAAAGCAAAATTCCCAATTAACAAATTAAAAATAATACCATCCAATCACAACAAATCTATTGATAAGTCACAACAAAAGAAAACAAAAATTAATCCCAACAAATCCACCCGCAAATCACCACAACACTTTTTCTTGTTTCTAATTGCTATTGCTAATTTCAAATAATTCAAACCATGCACGCAAAATGATAAAGGAAAACTAATAGGACATTGACACGCGCGCGCGCACATATATATATATATATATATATATATATATAGGTTACGTAGAAAAATGACAAAAGTTGAAAGTTGTGCTCTTAAAGTATTATCTGAAAAATGTCTTGGCTTGCTTTTACTTGATTATTTGATTTTTTTTTTTTGCATATTTTTTGTCATTAGGCCCCTCCCCACAGGAATGATGATGTAAGCAGCTTCTAATGATGTTATATATATAGTTTTTATTATAAAATTGCAGTCACAACCAAATTAAAATTGCTTAGAAAATTTCAAAGCAGACCCAGCCAACCATAATTTATGGAATCCATCATCCGAAAAGCACCAACAAATTTCATATTTCGCGATTGTTTAAATTTATAGTCTATTTGTGCACGTCATCGTCTTGTCATCCAACTAGCTAATACAAATGTAATGAGATAATACTCCCTCCGGTTTTAAGTATAAGATTTATTTTGTAATTTAAATTACACTACAAAATAGATTTTATATTTAGAAATGAAGGAGTATATTATTATTTGAAAATTTCTTAACCTATATATAAATATATAAAGATTGAATAATTCAAATTTAAAAGCTCACAAGAAGCTATTCATATCCAAGAAAACTGCTCATGACGTGCTCATCATCAATATTTTTAATTTTTATGTAGGTACAAGGATGGCCCTGACATATTTTATATAAATATTTTTTTTTTCTAGCAAGCTCTTGGAAGACCATGTTGGAATACTTTTAAAATGAAGAGATGTGTTTTTGAAAAGCCATGTCCTTATATAAATTTATTAAATTAATAAATTTATAGGAGGGGTTGTGTCTTCATATAAATTAATAAATTTATTTGAAGGGTTGTGTTCCCATATAAATTAATATATTTATATGAAGGGTTGCGTAGGAAGTTAAAACACTAAAAGACCCTACATATTAAATACATTGTATTTATTTAAATTATAGTGGTGACTTTTTTATTTAATAAGGTGTTATTCCAAAAGGTATCTCTTCAAGACATCATTCCATGGTCTATATAAACCCCTGACCATCACTTCATTTTGAAACAACAGAACACAAACACTAAGATCAAATTCATTGCATTTATCTTTGAGTGTACATAGAGATAAAGTCAAATTATCACTTTGTAAAAGCCATTATTGTCTTCGCTTGAATCTTGAAATGCAATCCATATTCAAGAGTCTTCATCGTATCCTGAAAGAAATTCACCAAACATCCCAACTTGCACCCTATAAGATAGGAATAGATGGGGCCAAATTAAGCCTAAAAGAAAGTACTGCCCATACCTTGAAGACATTGTGCACCACTTTCTTCTTCATCTCTTCTTCTTATACTCTTTAGAGAACCATTCCCACCAACAGTTTTTAGGCTTAATTAGCAAGCACAAATGGCTTCTTTGAAAGAGTTGACTACAAATTTTGTGAAGTTAGAGAGATTTGAAGGAGGTAACTTTCTAAGATGGCAAAGGAAGATGAAGTTTCTTCTCACAACTTGAACGTGACTTATGTTCTCACAACTCCCAAGCCTCAAGAAAAGGAGGATAAGACCATTGTTGAAATTAGAGAGAGACAAGAGTAGAAGAATGATGACTATATCTGCATTGGACATATCCTCAACGGCCTCTATGATGCTCTCTTTGATGTTTATCAATATACAACCTTTGCAAAGGATCTTTAGGACAAACTTGAGACAAGGTACATGCAAGAGGATGCTACAAGTAAGAAATTTCTTATCACTCGTTTCAATAGTTATAAGATGTTGATGGAAAGTCTATCATGGAGCAAGTGCATGAAATTGAATATATTTTGAATAATTTTAATCAACATAAAATGCATATGGGCAAGTCTAGTATTGTCTCCTCAATCATAGACAAACTTCCTTCTTCATGGAAAGACTTCAAAAAGAGTCTCAAACATAAAAAGGAAGATATCTCTCTTGAACAAATGGGAAATCATCTTTGTTTAGAAGAGGAATATAGAAAGCAAGATGCTAAAAAAGAAGCCAATACTCAAGAGAAGGTACATGTGGAGAGGAAGGATAGTCCAACAAGATCTCAAAGAAAAGAGGGAAAGATAAAGACAAACTCCAAGCATAAGATGGTCACAAAAACAAGAGAAAGAAAGGTAATTACTTCTTTTGTGGAAATGGTGGTCATTTCAAGAAAGACTGTCGTTTCTTCAAAAAGAAGAAAAGAAAGAAAACAAGTCATATGTAAAAGAAGACAATTTCTGAGATCCACCTAGTTGATAATAATGAATTATGGTGGGTGGACTCTGGTGCCACACATCATGTGTGCAAAAATAAGAACTTCTTCAAAATATTAAAGAAGAAAGATGGGGATGTACTTTATATGGGAAATGCTTCAACTATCCAAGTCAAGGGCAAGGGACCGTGGAAATTGAATTCACTTCTAGGAAAACTCTTACTTTAAGAGATCTCTATTATGCACAAGAAGTTAGGAAGAATTTAATTTCTGCACTTTTACTAAATAAGTTTGGGTTTAAGTCTATATTTGAGGGAGATAAGTTTATTCTCACTAAGGGTGGAACATTTGTGGGCCAAGGTTATTTTTGTGACAACATGTTTAAATGTAATGTTGTTAAAGTTAATAATAGTATTTACACTTTTGCTTATATTGTTGACTCTTGTGATTTGTGGCAATATCATTTGGGTCATGTTAATTTTGGTAAAATGAATGATATCATGAAACTTGAATTGATTCCAAAGGCTACTATTAATCATGATTCTTACACTACTTGTATGTTGACTAAGATAACAAGAAAACATTTTCCTAGAGTAGAAAGAAGTTCATTAGAATTGATTCATTCTAATATTTGTGATTTGCATGGTTGGCCTACTTTAGGTGGTAAAAAGTATTTTGTAATTTTCATTGATGATTGCACTAGATATTACTATGTCTATTTAATGCACTCAAAGGATGAAGTCTTAAACAAATTTAAGATCTTTAAAACTAAAGTAGAACTTCAATATGAAACCTTTATTAAGTGGTTAAGGACTGATAAAGGGGGAAAATATTTTGATCTAAAAATATTTTGAATCTGTTCGGATAATACATCAAGTAACTACCCCTTATTCTCCACAACAAAATGATATAGCTGAAAGAGAAAATAGAGTTTTAGTTCAGATGGTGAATGCTATGTTATCTTACTCTCGTTTATCTAATGGATATTGGGGTGAAGCATTGCTAATTGCATGTTATATGTTAAATAGAGTTTCCAATAAAGAGAACAAGATAACCCCATATGAATTATGGAAGGAAAAACAAACCAATCTCAATTATTTTAGAGTTTAGGGATGCAGAGCAATAGTTAAAGTTCTAGAACCCATAAGAAAAAAATTGGGTGAAAGAGGAGTTGAATGTATTTTTTTGGGATATGCTAAAAATATTAAGGCATATCGGTTCTTGGTTATTGAACCAAATGATTCATACCCTATTAGTAAAGTCATTGAATCAAGGGATGCAATGTTTCAAGAAGAAAGGTTCAACTCAATCCTTAAACCCAATGGTATTTCTCATTCCAATGAGAAAACAACTCAAAAGGAGAATGTATCTAGTGGCAATGACTTAGAAAAAAATAGAACTTAGAAGAAGTAAAAGGGCTAGAAAAGCAAAAACTTACGGTTCAAATTTCTTCATGTTTCCTGTTGAGGGGTCAAGGGAAGAAATTGAAAATTGTTCATCCATTTTTTTTAATTTAGAAAATGATCCTAAAACATTTGAGAAGGCTATGAAGTCTCAAGATGCAGTTTTTTAGAAAAAGGCTATACAAGATGAAATGGATTCAATAATAGGAAATAAAACTTAAAAATTAGTAGACCTCCGACCTGGTTCTAAACCTATTGGTTGTAAATGGATTTTCAAAAAGAAATTAAAAGTAGATGGATCTATAGATAAGTTTAAAGTTAGGTTGGTTGCTAAGGGCTTTGCACAAAGGAAGAAATAGACTATTTTGATCCATATGCACTGGTTGCAAGAATTTTCTTAATCAGAGTGCTAATATCACTTGCTTCCACATACAGTCTTGTTATACATCAAATGGATGTTAAAACAGTTTTTTTTAATGGAGAGTTGAAAGAAGAGGTATATATGACACAACCAAAAGAATTTATGGTTCTTGGTCAAGAATACAAGGTGTGTAAGTTAATTAAGTCTCTTTATGGACTTAAGCAAGCCCCTAAGCACTGGCATAAAAAATTTGATGAGATAGTTCTAACAAATGGACATAAAATCAATTAATCTAACAAATGTGTTTATAGTAAATTTTATAATGGGAAAGGTGTCATGATTTGTTTGTATGTAAACGACATGTTAATTTTTGGTACTGATTTAAATAAAGTAAATCAAACAAAGAAATTCTTGTCTAAAAGTTTTGACATGAAAGATATGCGACAAGCAGATGTCATACTAGGAATCAAGATTATTAGGAATAATAATTGTCTTGGTCTTTCACAATCTCATTATATTGAGAAAATATTAAAGAAGTTTAATTGTCTTAATTGTTATCCTGTTTCTACTCCATTTGATTCTAGTATGAATTTAGTACCAAACAAAGGTTGTCATGTGAGACAATATGATTATTCAAAAGTAATTGGATGCTTGATATATGTTATGACATGTACAAGAATAGATATAGCATATGCTATGGGAAGGTTAAGTAGATAAATAAGCAATGCAAGTCAGAATCACTAGTATGTTGTGGATAGAGTACTAAGGTACTGGAAAGGAACAGTCAATTATAGTCTGACCTATAGTGGCAATTGAAATATCCTACCTTTAACCCCTCAGAGTACGTATTTGTAAGCATTATGGTTCAAGCAGGTCAAAGTACAACCCGTGGATTAAAATTTTCAACATAATTGCTTGGGTTACTTTTCACTGTTTAAACTCCAGATTTCAGGTCCAACTTTGAAAAATCATAACTAATTCTACAAAAATCAGAATAGAGCGATTCCAATTTTCACTTAAAGTTCTTTCAATCTTCTACAAGGGAAAAATAACTTTCAGGGCTCAAACCTTGCCAATTAGTACAGTTTATTCGTTAAATATTACTGTTCAAGTGGTCGAAACAGTACTTTCCAGAAATCCTGTCTTGACTTTGAACAGCCATATCTCTTAGCATACACATCCATTTTTCGTGATTTACCACTTATTTTAAAGCTTATGATGTGTACTGTATAGAAACTAAATTTCATGGCTAAATTCATTCATTTGGTCTGCCTCATCATTGGTACCAATTCGTGACTCATTTAGGGACATTCTATCCCTTCAACTTAATTCAATCTTTATAAACAATTTATTTCTCCACCTCTTGTTATGCTATAATTCCACATAATATCTCCATACATAACCTCATACCATTTTACATATCATGAACATTTAATATCATCATTCCACATACATGGCATATCAAACATAAATTGATAAACTATGTTACATAACTTAACATGTTATAAGACCATAACATGTTCTTGACTTCTTCCATCAATCCTGCATTCCTAATCCTTGACTTTTCCTCCATGCCCTTTATACCTATTAGGGGTTGTTAAGGGAGGGTGAGATTCGGGAGAATCTCAGTAGCAAACACTACCCATAAGCATGCAAGACATAATGCAAATGGACGACATGTTATCATAACATCATCATAGGAATGCCATGGAAAGTAAGCTAAAGCATTTCATGCTTTCATAACATATTGCCAAGGCAAAACATAACATAAGCTTGTAAACATAACTTTGCAAACATTTCATCATAGTTTAGTCACATCATGGCAACACAATCACATCATGCAAGCATACATATCAAGCACACAGTATAGGTAAGTTCACTACCTTGTAACATAGCTTCCCTCTTGCTTTCCGTTTGCTTTCCCTAACCTTCCAAGTGTTTGAGCCTTCGGTTGACATAAAAAAGACATCCCCTTGGATGTTCCAAGGTCCTAAACACATCAAAACATTACGCGAAACATCAATTAGGACCAAGTTATCAACCTATTCCACACTTGGCTCTTACTTGATCACACTTTGTTTCTAACTTTTGAGATTTATTTCCAATCATTTTAAAATTAATTCCACATGCTATTCCCACATAATTTTGCATGTAAAATCCATTTCCAAGTTCAAAACAATCAAAATCCAACTCCTTCCCCCTTGTTCTGGTTTGGCTGAAACATAGGTGCCTTAGGTCCAAAATTTCCATTTTTAATTCTAATGCTTCCAAACATGTTTTCTACATATATCCCTACACAAAATCATCATTTAAACTCATTGGAAGCATCAAAATCATCAAATTCCAGACCCAACATAAAGAACCAGCCATGGCAGAATCATACATAAATAAAAGGGGAAGTTGTATTTCTTCAAGAATCAATATCAAACCAATTGATTCTTGTTGTTTCCAAGCCTTTAAACAAGTTTCTAATATCAATATCATCTTCTCCTTACTTAATCAATTTCGTGCAGTACCTCCCCATAGGGTTTAACCATCCAAAAATCCAATCAAACCAGCACCTAAGCTCAAAAATACCAAGGGAGGTAGAAACTAGATCAAAATCCATGAACATACCTTGATTTGAAGCTTGGATGACCATGGAATCACTTGAATTTTATCTTCTCCTCCTCCTCCATGTGCTGTTCGGTCTCTCCCCCTTGGCTCTCTATTTGGCCGAAAATATCAAGCTTGTGGGGGAAGGGATATATATAGGGAGTTAGGAGAAATCTTAGCCATTGATTTTGAAATTGCATGGCTTAATCTTGGCCATTGATTTTCAAATCAATCTTAGCCCTTGATCTTGTCTTCCTTAGCAAGAATTGTGACACTTGTCTAGGATTGTGTCATGCTTGGTCATCTTGCTTATGTCATCATGGTTAATTAACTTAACCATGGTTAACTTTCTTAATTACCTTGATTAAACTTCTTAATCACCTTACTTAAAATCCTTTCTTTAATCCTAATATGTCCTTAATCTTTTTACACATTTCCACACATATCCTCATGCCCCTATGACAATATGATAGGGAGGAAAATCATACAAAATTCGTGCATAAATTCATCCAAAAATATTCCTCCACCTATCTTACCGGTTTACCTCATAATAGGTACTTTCTTGGGTCCTGACTTACCCGATACCTCTGGGACATGGTTTAGCACATTTTTCATCTTCAAAATACATTCCCATACTCTTCTAATAACATTCATAGGGGAATCATACTTCTTTCTCATTTCCCAAAATATTAATAATTAATATTCAATCGGAGTCGATTTTGCCGAATTCTTTCCTATCGGCTCGTAACTCTATTGATCTGTCTCTGGGTTTCATTCTTTCCCTTTCATCATAGGGTATTCCTCTAATTTTTCTCAGGTCCAAAGTCAAACCGTAGACAGGAAATTTGACTTTCCCCGGATATGGTATAAATAGGCTTTAAATTCAATTAAAGCTAACCTTGTCAGTTTCTGGGGTTGGAATTAATTTTACAATCTGTGTAAATTCCTCAACTACTGTTCCCCAGTTTTTCCTGATTATTTGAGGCTGCCTCGTACCTTAAATAATTCAATTTGAGTTACTATCTCAAATTGCTCAAAAACCTGAAATGACTTTAGGGCATTTCCGTCATTTCTAGCCTTATATCAGCTCCAGATTCCTATTCCCATTTTTCTGGAATTTTTGTAAGTCATTTGGGCCCTTTTCGCTAACTTTGAGCATTGGCCAATCAGAACTTTTATTATTTACAATTAGGTCCCTTCATGGCCAAGGAATCTTTTCTTTGCAATTTGGTCCCTCCTTAGGCCTAACCTTCGGAACCATCTCTTGCAAGTTTTTGGCATAACCTCTGGCCCTTAGTTGTTTCTAGTTCGTCATTCTTTAGTCCCTGAACACTATTGTTTTATACATTTGCCCTTGGAAATTCTCTTTTTTTCTTCCGAGGGATATCCGGGACTTTCGTTGCATTGGACTTAGTAATCATCCTTTCCTTGTGCTATTACTTGTATTTATGAGCCAAAATTTGGGATGTTACAGCAATCCTTCAATTTTGCAAGGATATACAGATGCCAGTTGGATAAGTTACTTAGAGGATCATGCTTCCACAAGTGAATGGGTCTTCACTTTAGGTGGGGATACTGTTTCTCAGAGATCTAAGAACCAAACCTGTATTGCAGACTCTACCATAGACTCTGAGCTTATAGCATTGGCTATAAGTAAGGAAGCAAAATGGCTTAGAAACTTGTTACTTGGAATTTCTACATGGCCTAAGCCAATGGCACCAATATCTATCTATTGTGATAGTTAGTCTACTCTTTCAAGAGCTTATAGCCAAGTTTATAATAGGAAATCAAGACATATTGGATTGAGACACAGTTCTGTGAAGGATCTGATTATGAATAGAGTAATCTCCATAAGTTATATAATATCTAAATTAAATCTTGCAAATCCTTTGATGAAAGGTTTAGCAAGGGAAATGATGTTAAAAACATCAAAGGGGATGGGATTGAGGCCCTATAAACCTTGATCACCGATAGTGAAAACCCAACTCACACTTGACTACCATATCAAGTCTTGAGTTCAATGGTGAAAGTATGCTATTAGAGTGATTGCAAGTACTTGACATGTTTATACCTCCCAAAGTTGAAAAGTACTTGGTAACCATGAGATTTAAAAGAGTAAAGGTTGAGCTTTAATTTAGCTCTTAATGGACCTGTAAGCATATATTTGCTAGAGCATTAATCATGGTGGTGCTCTTAACAGAGTCTACCTATATGAGAGTGAAATGGGGCCGCTTCTAGGAGTCTGACGGCTTGACTCTGAAAACTCTTCATGAAAAGGATGTGGACACAAGGCCTTAAACGTGTCATTTTAAGTGGCATACAGTGGTCCGAGGTCCTATGCATGAGTCATGCACACCTGTTCATATGAAATAATTGGTTCAAAGCTTAGTCTATCATATTATTTCGGATAGGTGAAACATGTCTTGCTTAGGTAAAAGTTCAAATTCTTAAGATACTTTTGTTGAAGACGTGAGATTTCCAAAGTGATAAGAGTTTGGGTTCATTTTAAAAATGGTGGGGGATTGTTGGAATATTTTTAAAATGAAGAGATGTGTTTTTGAAAAGTCATCTCCTTATATAAATTTATTAAATTAATAAATTTACATTAGGGGTTATGTCTTCATATAAATTAATAAAATTATTCAAAGAGTTGTGTTGTCATATGAATTAATATATTTATATGAAGGGTTATGTAGAAAGTTAAAACACTAAAAGACCCTACATATTAAATATATTGTATTTATTTAAATTATGTTGGTTCATGAACCAACACATGGTGGTGACTTTTTATTTAATAAGGTGTTATTTCAAAAGGTATCTCTTCAAGGTGTCATTCCATGATCTATATAAACCTCTCACCATCACTTCATTTAGAAACTACACAACACAAATAGTAAGATCAAACTTATTATCTTTGTCTTTAAGTGCACACAGAGATAGAGTCAAATTATTACTTTGTAAAAGCCATTTTCTTCGCTTGAATCTTAGAAGTGCAATCTATATTCGAGGGTCATCATTGTTCTCTGAAGGAAATTCGCCGTGCATCTCAACTTGCATCCTATAAAATAACAATAGGCGGGGGCGAATTAAGCTTAAAAGAAAGTGTTGCCTACGCCTTGAAGACATTATGCACCACTTTCTTCTTTATCTCTTCTTCTACTCTTCAAAAAACCATTCCCACCAACAGACTACTTAACGAAGCATTCAACAAAAATTACAATGTTCAACAAAAATTATGATGTGTCCATGATGATCCAATTGCCGCTCATTAAGGGGGTTTTTGGCAATATGATGAAACCATAATTTTGAGAACAAACTATGGTTTGAGTCTCAAATTTGCCAAACAGGAAGGAAAATTACCAAACTGCAGTTTCAGAAAAAGTGAATCCATTTTGCTTTTGACTTAAATTAGAGAGTATGATTGTGTCTATCAGAGTAGATCTCAATGATAATATGATTTTAACACCCCTCAGTTATTTTTTTATAAACATATTTAATCTTATATTTTATAAATATATACACATATTAATTAATTATTAATTATGTTGGTAAAAAATATATTATTAATAATTTCATTCCTTCAAATTAAAATATATCATAAAATATATCTTTTATGTAATTATCACATTAACTTATGCCCTTTTTAATAGTTTTTACATATAAAAAGTGTTTCTGATAATAATTATCCAAACACTCTCACTTCTCAGAATCACTTTTTCACAAAATCTATTCTCCCAATAATCTATTCTCCAGAAGCTATTCTCCAAACTATGGTTTGGAGAATAGCTTCTGGAGAATAGATTATTGGGAGAATAGATTTTGGTTTGGTTTCATCCAAACATCCCCTAAAAGCAATTAAAAAGTGTGATGAAGAATGTAGTTAGTAAAGTAGAAGGAAAAAAATAAAAAAATACACCCATTTTCTTCTCTTCCCCCCCCCAAAAATCTCTCGTCCAATCCTTCCCTTGTCCATGAGACGTAGCATCATTAATATCTGCAGAAAATTAACACATATAAAAAAATAAACAAACTAGATTAAATTTGTTTTCTAAACAATTTTGAAACTAAATGATATTCGTGGCAATCAATATGGTGTTTCTGAACTCATGAGTTAATTTAAACTTTTCTAGAAAGAACAAAACTCATTAAAAATATACATGCTAGAATATATAACGCATAACATATGGGATGATATAAACTATATATATAATGCATCTTAGTAATAGTACATATAACGTGTATATGTTATGTTAATGAAGGTTTCATAGGAAGAGCGACAGAGATAACGAGTACATTTTATTTTTACTTTTCCGAATAACCACATTATTGCAGTGACCATCATTGTTTCGTTATTCATGCATTTCAATTTACTAATAGTGCCTCACTTTCCTTGCCTAGCTCACAAGCACAAGCAGAAGAACCAAGTTAGGACTAGCCACGGTGACAAACAATACTACCTCCGGTCCTTAATATAAGACCCTGTTTGATTTTTATTTTGGTCCTAAATATAAGACCCCAATCCACTTTGTCTCTCATATTTATACATTTTTTTCCAAAGTAGCCCTTCTAACAATGATGGTTCTAGTTAACATACTTGATTAGTAAGGATATTTTAGAAAAAACAACACCTATTGAGGACAAATAACTAACTTAACTTACTTCATTAGTCTCCTCAAATTAGTCAACTAGTTCTTATAATTAGGACCGGAGGTAGTATATGTTTTCTATTAAAATATAAAACAGCAAAAATATACCTTTAACTCTTTAAGTTCACGCAAGATTTCATTTTGGTTTCTTAATTTTGTAAAATATCTTTTCAATCTTTTAAGCCTAACATTGCCAACAAAAAATGCTGATATTGAAATTTAACCATTGAAAAAACATTCTCAAAAGTAATTATTACATATAAAGTTTAATTTTTAAAATAACAATGATTATTATGAAAAATGTCATTTGAGAGTAAGACTGGTATAATTAAAGGACTAAGAAGATATTTCTTAAAATTACCAAGCCAAATTAAAAAATTTACATAAAATTAGCATATCAAAGTACTACTACAAAAAAATCATATATTTTACAGTTATGTTTTAGGGAAAAAGACAAA